AGCCAGTTCAGGGCTGACAAATGTGTTTTTATAAACCCACCTCCTGAATCTTAAAGGCAGTTTACATTACAGAGTTCCCATACAAGTTATAATGAAAATTTACGTGCTCATCCATATCATAATTTCCTACTGAATAATAGTTCCAGTTGGAAGTCTCCTTGTCATCTCCTTTAAAAGATCAATTGCTCGACCCAGCAATCGTAATAAATAGCTGACCTCACCATCTCCCAATTGACAAAGGGTTCAGCAATATATTGTATGTCTGTTAATACTTAAAGGAAAACAAAAAATATTGCTACCAGTAAACCTTTTTGACAGTTTATATGTGGTAATGCAATAAGAGATTCCATCGTCAAATACCTCAATATTGTCATAAATAATACGTAAGCCTATTTAATACTTTTTAGGCAGATCTTTACGACAGACAATGAATGTTGATGGCAAAAAAACGTGTGAAACCAGACCATAAATCCTGGTTAAAATAAAATGCTACTGAGTTCATTTTACAGTTGTGTGAGTCATTTGTAATAGTCATTCACATCTTAGATGTCGTAGAATGAATCAGGCAGGTGCGATAACAGATGACCAGACGCTCGAACTTGTAATTGCAAAATCATGAGGTATCATTTACTGCTAAGATTTTATTTTTATTCAAGGACTTAACGAGCACTACCACCAGTACTCTTCCTAATAGGAAAATTTTTTCGCAACATGACTAAATTTCAATATTTTGATCCAAAAGAACTCTAATCTGACTGAGTGGTAAACCGAAAAAAATGGTCATGCCATTTTTAATCCTGTTTTGAGCAAAAGTAGACTTTTGAACACTCTTCAAAATTGAACTAGATCGTCGTTTTACTTTAATACTCAATTAATTGACTTCATATTTTGTTTTCAGATTTATCCCCTTTTATCGTTATTCAGACGGAGAAATCATAAGATTACCTAATTGACGATTTTCTATACCGATGTGACCTTATTATTCTACAAATTAGTAAATTCCAAGACTCCAACATTACGCAAGGCGGGGTGTGCGATAGACTTACCTCCACGTGGTGCACCCTGGGCAACGTATACTCATACGGCAAAAAAGTCTATTAATCGGCAGTTGACTTCTGACTTCAAACTACCTCACCTTTTTCTACCTTTGTGTCTGTCTGTCTATTTTATATCTGTGAATAATTATTCTGCCCCACTCTCGACGTTTTCCCACTTTGCTGTTCATCTTCCTTTATGTGAAGCCTGAAGTTAACTAAAGGGCTAATGATACCTATGAACGCCTGCCATTTGATATAAATAAATATATTTTTGAAAATTATTTATTTATTTCAAATGGCAGGCGTTATGATAGGTATCATTAGCCCCCTTAGTTCCGGCGCCCTGCTTCACAAAAAGGAAGAGGAACACCAAAGTGGCAAAAAGTTCACAGAAAGGAAGATAAACATCCAAGTGGTAAAAAGTCCTGATATTTATCATTAGCCCTTTAGTTGACTTCAGGCTTCAGAGAAAGGAAGAGGAACACCAAAGTGGCAAAAAGTCGAGAGCTGGAAGATGATACCTATCATAACGCCTGCCATTTGACATAAATAAATAAATAAACATTACGCAAGGCAAAGACCCGGCAACATAGCACACTTTAACAAATACGAGAATTTATGAATAAATAGCAAAAATAGTTCATCTCCTTTTTCAAAGATACAATTTTTAACTTTTTCGCATAGATTAATTTTTTCTAAGGTAAAATATTCTAATATTTCCCAGATTGACAAATTGGTATTTTGGTCGCTCGTTCCTGATTATCTTTAATGGATGTAACTGGTTATTCGTTTCATGGGACCAACTCTAACTTGACGACTAGAATCAGCGAATTTTAAAAATCTGACTTAAAACAAATACCGAACACAAGTACACGCTATAAAAGAGTTATAAAGATCAATTTTACTTATATTTTGAATGGAAGGGTTAGTTTGAGTTGTAATTTGATCTAACGTCGACAATTTTCCATGAGCATTTTATTAAACGGGAGTTCGGTTCCAAAAACCTTGAAACAAAGTGAAAAGCACGTTTGTGGAAAGAATGAGTTGAACAGATTGTAAGACCTAGGCTTGGAATCCTATTTATGCGCCAACACTAACATATTAATAATTCGGGCGTATAGTGAGTAAATGAGATTCAAAATGGAACAAATTCTACCTCAGACAATTTATTTATATCAAATGGCAGGCGTTTTGATAGTTATTAGTAGTTCTATAATTGACTTCAGGCTTCACAGAGGGGAAGGAACATCAAAGTGAAAGAAAGTCGAGAGGGGGGGGGGAATAGAAGAGTGTTTCAAAGATGTAAAAGAGACAGACACAAAGGTAGGGAGAAAAAGGTGAGGTGAGTACTGTAGAAGCAGTCGAATACGACATGCAGTGGGGTGGTGGTAGTTTGAAGTGAGAAGTAAACAGCCGGTTAATAGACTTCTATGCCATATGTGTATACGTTGCCCAGGGTGCACCACGTGGAGGTAAGTCTATCGCACACTCCCCACTTCAGACAATAGGATGGTGATTGATTCCTCTCACTCTTGCTTCTTTAACAGTTCCTTGCTCATACTTCTACTTTCTTACTCCTATCGTGCCTTGTAGTTAAAATGCTGTCAATAGATACTTAGTTAGACGAGGATACTAGCAAAAGCAAAATATGGATAGTTTGTTCACCATAGGGGTAATATGTGCAAAAATTGGGCGGCAAATACATCAGAATTAGAATACTTCTGTTACCTCCTTGTAGTGAAGTTTTCTAGCATTTGCGCAAGTATCCGTCATTATTTTTTCCCAGTAATGCGCGATACCCCCTATCTATAGACAAACTTATTTCTTTGGAGAATGATTTNCGCTTAAAATCTATAGGTGCAAATTTCTTCCAAGTATTGACGATTAAACTATCGTCGACACGATAAAATTGCTTATATTTCTGAAACCAAAATTAATGGGGAAAATGTTGGCTTCGGGCTCTAGCCAAAACAGGTTGCCCTTTTGTGGTAATATGANCATAATTGGTTGTAGACTTCATTGTGACCCTTCAGGGCGGGTGGCATTGAATATCCACAATAGACGGCTTAATCTTGAGGTTAAGGGGTGTGCGATAGACTTACCTCCATGTGGTGCACCTTGGGCAACATATACTCATACGGCAAAAAAGTCTATTAACTGGCAGTTGACTTCTAACTTCAAACTACCATGGCCCGATTGCTTGACATATTCGACCCCTTTCACAGTACACATCGTACCTTTTTCTCTACCTTTGTGTCTGCCTGCCTCTTTAACATCTGTGAATCGTTCTTCTGTACCCCACCCCTCGACTTTCTTCTACTTTGATGAACCTTCCCTCTGTGAAGCCTGAAGTCAGCTAAATGGCTAATAATAGCTATCAAAACGCCTGTCATTTGAAACAAATACATTGTTTTCCATTAATGAATCCTCTTTGATTTTGCTGTTAAAAGAATTTTTGTCGAAAGTGAGCATTTGCAAATGCCTGCCAAACCAGAGTATTAATAGATTAACAAAGTTTCGTAAATTATTAATTTTAATAGGAAAATAAAGTTGGGTCAAATGCCAATTAGATAAACATTAAATTGCTTTAAAATGTGCGCATGTTACTTAACATAATTAAGATAATGTTTACCAAAATTTTATATTGCTCGGTAAAAGAAGTAACTCTAGTTTATCGAAATGATTAATTATTACCACAAAAATTATTTGAATTTTCTTCGTTGTCAATTAATAAAATATACTTATTTATTGGAACTTTGAAAGGGCATTTTCTTGCAGTTGTACCTAAAAAGTGCAGTTGAGCGGTAGTCTTGAGTTTTCAGATTTCCCGCTATTTTGGTAGTCTAACAACAATATTTATTTATTTATTTACATCAAATGGCAAGCGTTCTGATAGTTATCATTAGCCATTTAGTTGACTTCAGGCTTCACAGAGGGGAAGGAACATCAAAGTGGAAAAAAAGTCGAGAGGGGGGAAGAACAGAAGAGTGTTTCAACGACGAATGTAGAAAAGGTGAGGTGAGTACTGTAGAAGCAGTCGAATACGACATGCAGTGGGGTGGTGGTAGTTTGAAGTGAGAAGTAAACAGCCGGTTAATAGACTTCTATGCCATATGTGTATACGTTGCCCAGGGTGCACCACGTGGAGGTAAGTCTATCGCACACTCCCCACTTCAGACAATAGGATGGTGATTGATTCCTCTCACTCTTGCTTCTTTAACAGTTCCTTGCTCATACTTCTACTTTCTTACTCCTATCGTGCCTTGTAGTTAAAATGCTGTCAATAGATACTTAGTTAGACGAGGATACTAGCAAAAGCAAAATATGGATAGTTTGTTCACCATAGGGGTAATATGTGCAAAAATTGGGCGGCAAATACATCAGAATTAGAATACTTCTGTTACCTCCTTGTAGTGAAGTTTTCTAGCATTTGCGCAAGTATCCGTCATTATTTTTTCCCAGTAATGCGCGATACCCCCTATCTATAGACAAACTTATTTCTTTGGAGAATGATTTACAAATTTCCTTTTTATGTATTCACATAAGCGCATCAAGATAAGTAAATCCAAATTTCATTCTTAAAAGGTTGAAAAATCATTTTAGTTGAATGAAGCATAAAAAAACGGCTCATACATTCTCCTCGAATGCTCAATTAATGCTCTGATGGAAACAAAACCACTTATTAGACATTTAAAGCAGCCAATTAGAGCAACGGAGTGGAACAGTAGTTTAGAGAATACGTAATCTTGGCGATGCGTCACTCCAAAATACTTCTCCCACCCAATGAAAATTTACGAATGTGAGTCTGCGTTAGATCACCAAGCAAATGCGATTCGATACTCTCTCCCCCACCCCGCTCAAAAAGCCAGAGGGCTCGCGTTATATGATGCAATTTGCACTTAGCTCACTTTGCCGATTTAAACACAAAATTGCCAAGCCCCTATTTTGTTTCTCTGTTAAGTGATGCTCGCGGCAAAAAAGAGGAATTCTTCTCTTGGAAATGATCAAAAATCCAGAAGACTAACCATGTCAGGTGAAATGTTCCACAAGCTGAAAAATAAGATTGAAGACAACACTGACAGCCCTTCTCCCCGTGATAGGAAACGTAGCAATGGCGAGGCGGAACACAAATACAAGCGAATTATGTCCACAAACGATAGGGGGAAATATTTCCAAGCAAGAAATAGCATGGCTTCAACTGGTGATGGGTCTCGAAAGATGACATTAACGAGCGATAAATTCATGCAAATCATCCAAAAAACCGGTCCAACTGGACGAAGTTCAAAGGCAATGAGTACGAGTGCATCGACCACAACGAAACCCTTATATTTGGATTTGCTTCAAGACATAAATTTAAACGACACTGGGGTAAATTTACTACCATTTTTTTCTATGTATTTAACTTCTTTAATTTTACGATCGATTAAATTCCGTTGCAAAATGAAAATAGTTTCACTTTAGATTACTGATGTAATTATAGATTTTTTTCAATAATCTAACCGAGTAGACTAATTACTCAACCAATTTTTAAGTTGAAAATGGATTTCTTTAAACAGCAAGTCAAAAGTATATCAGATAAAATAACTCATTGAATTTTATCACGTGGGTGGTAAAGTTTGGTTGACAGTAGGCATTAATTATCTTAAGCTTTGACCAATATATATATATATATATATTTCAAATGGGAGGCGTTTTGATAGATATCATTAGCCATTTAGCCGACTTCGGGCTTCACAGAGGGAAGGTTCATCAAAGTAGCAGAAAGTCGAGGGGTGGGGAACAGAAGAGCAATTCATAGATGTAAAAGAGGCAGACAGACACAAAGGTAGAGAAAAAGGTAAGGTGACTACTGTGGAAGGGGTCGAATATGACAACCAAAGGGTCGTGGTAGTTTGAAGTCAGAAGTCAACTGCCGGCTAATAGACTTTTTTTGCCGTATGAGTATACGTTGCCCAGGGTGCACCACGTGGAGGTAAGTCTACCGCACAACNGCCGCTAGCTTTAGGTCTATAATATTTATTTATTTATATCAAATGGCAGGCGTCTTGATGGTTATCATTAGCCCTTTAGTTGACTTCAGGCTTCACAGAGGGGAAGGAACATCAAATTGAAAAAAGTCGAGAGGGGGGGGGGACAGAAGAGTGTTTCAAAGATGTAAGAGACAGACACAAAGGTAGAACAATGGTGGGGTGAATACTGTGGAAGTAGTCGAATATGGCATAGAGCGAGGTGATGGTAGTTTGAAGTGAGAAGTCAACTGCCAGTTAATAGACTTTTTTGCCGTATGAATATACGTTGCCCAGGGTGCACCACGTGGAGGTAAGTCTATCGCACACCCCAGGTCTATAATATTGGCATAGAAATTTCGTTGATAAGGGTAAATTGACCTTAATCATCTTCTGTTATTCAACATTATGCAGTTTTTAAACATTCCTTTATTTAAAACATTAGCCATTAACGAGGTTTACCAATTTCACTACACCTGAAGAAATGTATTTTATTTTAAAAATTACTCCGAAATTTTCCATTGTAATTTTAATTGGCTCTTTAATGAAATGGTTAATAAAGCTAACGAATATGAAATAAATTAAGTGATGCACATTAAGAATGCATCCACACTGCCTAGGGACGTTTAAGAAGTAGAAAATGCGACAATTTTCACAACGCTTACCAATAAGCATGTATTTAATTTAAATATTGGAATAACTCACTAATGATCCCTTCAGTGTTTGCCGCATACCACTTCAAGGTGGTCACTTTTCATGTGTATTTGATGGGTGCTTACCAGTGGAAACCCAATTCTACGGGTTTTCCCGTATTTGGTAGCGCATATTTTAAAATTACGGATTGTATTTATTTCACCATCATTTATTTTAACTATACTAAAAGATAAAAATGGTAAAAATAAATAAAAAACTATAATTGACCTCAACCGAAGTAAGAAAATGAGAGTAGTTAGATTGGAAACAAATTATACCTAATTAATCCTCTTAACGAATGTTCGTCGGCTTACTGTCGCTGTTGCTTAACTTTTAAAAATGTCAAACCTTCTCTATCTCAATTTCACTGGGATGTGTTCTGGAGAGAAGTACGTGGTTTCTGTTGACCGATATCTTCAGGGCACCTGGGTTTCCTTTCTAATGACTTTAATCTTAATTGAATACGTTGGATATTTATTTATTTATTTGTTTATTTCAAATGGCAGGCGTTATGATAGCTATCATTAGCCATTTAGCTGACTTCGGGCTTCACAGAAGGAAGGTTCATCAAAGTAGTAGAAAGTCGAGGGGTGGGGAAGAGAAGAGCGATTCACAGATGTAAAAGAGGCAGACAGACACAAAGGTAGAGAAAAAGGTAAGGTGACTACTGTGGAAGGGGTCGAATATGACAACCAAAGGGTCGTGGTAGTTTGAAGTCAGAAGTCAACTGCCGGCTAATAGACTTTTTTTGCCGTATGAGTATACGTTGCCCAGGGTGCACCACGTGGAGGTAAGTCTACCGCACAACCCCCCCCCCCCCTTATGATTATGAAAGGAAGTAAATATTGATTAAGTTAGGGCGCACTGTGCTTGTATTGCCTTGTCGCTGGGATCGAATTATTTCGTTACATCAAGGCTCCCGAAAATACCTCACACGCACTGAAAGACGATCCACTCATCGCATACAGTTGAGTAAACACTAGACACTGTATCCAAAGATGGGTTTGTTGTTGTAAAACAGGTTGATTAATTCAGATAATCACAACGAATCAGAATTAAGAACAGTCATGAATGGTGTTAGTACACAAGTGTACGTAAAACTGTGTGCTTAGTGCATTGAATTAATTTGTGGTCATGAAAGAGAAAGGAAAGAAGAAGCCATCTCCATGGAAAATGTGCCTTACCAGTGTCTCGTGTGTCTCGACTCAACCCGTTACGCAGGAGAGACCCATTGACAATCCCCCCAGATTTAAGAAACGATATCGGTCTTCTGTATATCAGGTAGAGATCGAATTTAACATAGGATGGAACAAATACTATTATTTGGAGTTTTGATTTAAATAGTTTTTTTACCTATTAATTGTAGCCAGTCAAAAACCCTGATGAAGACTGCGAGATGGTTACTGCCTTAGATACGGACAATTGTAAGTTATTTGCTCACATTACTCATTCAAACAGTGATTTATTTATAATTTATTATAAAATAAGTTTTTATTTATTATTTCTGGAGTTTAAATTTCCTGCTTTCAATTTTCCCTGCCAATTCGGTCAACTTTGGAGTTTTGACACAACGCATAGGGGCTTATTTAACCTAACAATACGAAACCCGATAACTGAATGCTATTTGCTAAGTTTGAGATCCATTTATTCTCAACTTTTATGGTACTTCATCTTCTTCTTAAAACTTGGTCAGCAACCACCAATCAATTTTCTTCACTTGATAGCTAATTTGTAAATACTTATTCAATTCAAATAATTAGCATGCTCATTGCAATCGTTATTAATCAAGTGTACCTCAAAAGAACTTTTAGAGTATGCACGGGAAGCTTTTTAAGGTACATGAATGTGAGTGGCTAGCATCTAAAAGTGCACGTGTTTTCATAATCAGCGAAATATGTACAATCGGCCCAAGAGCTTGAGTCAAAAAACAGAGATTTTACAAAATATTTATTACAAATGGCAGGCATATCGATAGTTATCATTAGCACTTTAGTTGACTTTGGGCTTTACAAAGGGGAGGAGGAACATCAAAGTGAGAAGGATTCAGGAGGTGGAATAGAAGAGTGGTTCACAGATGTCAAAGAAACAGACAGACACAAAGGCTCGGAAAAAGTAAGATGAGTACTGTGGTAGGGGTCGAACATGACATACA